TCCATGCTTCAGTTATAGATACGTATGTCTACATGAGGGCGCCATTATACTACTATCTCTACTTAAATGCATACAATGATGACACTTTTGGATACTACTATATCCAAATGCTACAAACCTTTGGATAGATGTATGGAGCTTAGCTGTGGAACCAGATTCATCGCAACATAAGAAATTCCAGTTATCAATTGTTTGACTAGGTAAATCCTTGTCTTGTATGTGTCTCTAATAGTAGTCATTTTATTGATCGACTACAGGGTAAACAATTGCTTATTTACGCTCTTTTTTTGTACTTCTTTTAAATGCTAAATGAAACTAATGGTTTTAGTCACATGGGACTGGTTAAAGTCTATATAGTTGTCAAGTCTTGATTAACCGAATCTCAGAACTCCCATCGTAAAGTTGTGGCAAAAGAGTGGTTAGAACTGTAAGAAGAGGACAACAATACTGATCTCTTCCTCACCAAGACCTTCAGGTTCCACAAAACATGCTTCACTCAAATTACTTGGGGATAGGAAAACAGAATGTGAAAGCATTCACATGAGTGATATTTTAGGAGTTTCATTTAGAAAAATATTATATTTTCTAGTTGATACCAATATCTCCCTCTCTCTCTCTCTCTCTCTCTCTCTGACACATAAATATATGTGACATTCTATCTCTATATCCTCTTCATTCTTTACCTCCTACCTTATTTTTTGGGTTGGGGGTTGCTCCGCTGTGCTGGGTTGGCTTTCTATAAATTTAATGAAGAAACCCTATTGCAGTGGTCCCCAAGAGAGTCACTTTCTGCTGCCATTTCAAGTGCAATATACTCATGTGATGGTCTACTGGTATTTTCCGGATTCCGTGATGGTGCTATTGGAATTTTTGATGCGGACAGTTTGAGGCTTCGATGTCGGGTTGCTGCCTCTGCTTACATATCTTCCTCTGTTGCCAGGTATGCTAAAGTTTGCATGGCTAACTTTAGATAGCAGTGCATCTAAAATGGTTCATTTTGGGTTTTTAATGTGGTGGGGAAAAGAATAATACATCAAGGCTTACAAAGTATCAAGTTTTAAACAACATGGACTGATTTCACGACTTTCTCTTCTTTTGTTTTGGTTTAACATATTAGTTATACCCTGGAGTCAACCTGCCTAGTTATTGTAATTAAGTCAATGGAATCTCCTTGAACCAGAGGCATAACCGTACAAGAGGTCAAATTAGTTTCAAATACATGATCACTCTTACCCATTTTCTAGTATTTCTACGCATTGAATCTTATCTTAAGAAAAACAAAGACCTTCAATCTTTTTCAGAACATTGAAAGGAAAATCATATTTGATAATATGCATTATTGAGGTGAAATTTAAAACTCTTTATAATTGTCCAACAATTTTTCAAGGTTTAAGATTGCAAGTCAAGAGCTTTCTGCATTTTGTTTATCTAGGTGCCATGGGTTTTTGGCACTTCAATGGTTAGAGCATGTCATTTGTTTCAAGGACTTGTTGAGACGTTGATCCTATTGAACCACATCTAATGAAGTTCTATAGAATTATCTTGTCTCAAAGACGATAAGGCTATCAAGCTCTCTCTCTGTCTCTCTGTCTTCCAGTTTTTGTTGCGATTCTATTGAACTTGGTCGTTTGATCATTTGACCATCATAATTCCAGTTTCAAATGATGTCTGAATACCAAAGGTTGAAATAACTGATTGACAATAACTTCAATTCTGCAGCAACTGTGGCACTGCCTTTCCTGTGGTGATTGCCGCCCACCCATCTGATCCCAACCAATTTGCTCTCGGGATGAGTGATGGTGCAGTTCATGTGATCGAGCCATCTGACGCGGAGCCAAAGTGGGGTGGTTCAGCTCCTCAAGAAAATGGAACTCTACCTTCGGTTCCCTCGAATTCTGCGCTGAATAGCCAGCCATCCGAAACCCCTTCTAGGTGACACCATAAAGCATGGTTCTTGGTGATGCTATGACCCTCACAACTTCAAAATCATATTGTAAATCTTTATATGCATTTTTTTTTTGTTTTTAAGTTATGAAGGAAAGAATCTGAAGTCACTGTGCAGGGATGGTGGATCATGAATTTGAGGAATGTAGCCATTTTTGCTTTTCGCCACCCATCTATTGTTTGGTTCTTGCTTTCGGTAATATATAATAAATTATAATAAATGTTAAAATTTCATGTTTGCTGATTATTTAAAAGTTAGAGGCCTCTCCGCCTGCCTCACCCCAAAATACACAACTCAAATTAGAATTAATATTTTCGCATGAAAATAGGGTTGATAATTGAACTGATCTTGTTGAGTTTGGTTTTTTAAATGAGCTAAAAAGTTTTTCAAGTCCGGGCCGAGTTCAATACGAGTATAAACTTGAGTCGAGCCCAACTAATTTGATTATTTTGAGCTCAAGTAATTTGGTTATTTTATATATAAACCAGAGAAATTTTACGAGTTCGAGTATAATCTTTTTAGACTTGTTTTTCTAAACAAGTTAAAAAAATTATTTGATTTCGGCTCATTTTTAAAATGAGTTAAACTCGAGTCGAGTCCAGTACGAGTTGAATCCAAGTAGTTTGGCTCAATCATCGCTCTTACACTTGCATATTATAATATTACTGAAAAGAATTAATAATTGATAATTTTTAATATGTCTGTTAGCTCATTCTCAATTGGTTTGTTTGGTTTAATGAACTTGCATTAGAGAGGTTAAATGAGAGATAAGTTTGATAGTGTAATAAATAAAGTCAATATAATTAAAATAACAATAACAAACTTGAGGTGATACAATTATAATTATAATTTATTTATTTTTGTCACTATTTTGAAATATTACAAAGGAGGGGCTGATGAGATTGGAACTCGTGACTTAACAGTCCAATGATGAATTACGGTGGTCATTAGGCTAACTATTGATCTTTTAAATTAGAATTTGAATGTTTGATAAATTCAAAGAGTTTTTAAAAAAATAAAAAATTAATTCAGGGAGGCTCACTAGTCTAATAATAATTTATGTTGAATTAGTGCACGGAAAATAATAAATCTATACTGCTAATAAAGAAAGAAGGTAGGATTTGGTGTTCACATTTGTAACACCAGTAACCATTTCTCTTAGCTTTTTATTTTAATTACCTATAACTACCCATAATTTTCACAATTTATATATTCTCACTCTCATATTTTTTTTTTACTTTTTTCTTATCTCTCTTTTTAAAATTGAACACACGAGAAAAGTAACTGTTTGCAGATAGTTTAATAATATTTTACTCGGTTGTTGAAAATAACAATGTAAATTTAATAAATTTTCAAAAAATTCAGATAGATATGTTAATGTAATTACTTATACCTGGTGGACCTTGGGATTGTACACGCGACCCGCCCAAGAAATTACCCGTACCCGTTTTGGGACCTATATATAGGCTCCGAACTCAAAACTCCAAAGCATAATCCATTTTCTAGGGTTTTAGATCTCAACTTTCCCTCTCTCTCTGTGTCGACAACTCTGTCTCCTCCCCAATGGCCACGCTCAGATTCTTACTCTCCAAAACAACGTCCCAAACCCTCTACAAGTCCGTCCAACCTCGTCGTTTCAATGGCTCTCCTATGGTTTCTCAATTTCTCAGAAGTCTTTACTCTCTTATTTCCCAAGAATTCCAATTCCGTTCCTGCAACAAATTCCATTCCTTGCATTCCAGGACCATGTCCACTGCCCTGGATGATGATCCCCAAGATTCTAGTGCATCTGTCGCTGCCGCGTTAAATGTTGATGATCGGGTCCCCGCCACCGTGATCACAGGTTTTCTAGGGTCCGGAAAGGTTGGTTTCTTCTTATGATTTCCAAATTCTCTGTTTGGTTCCTGAGAACATTGCGGAAGAGAAAAAAATGATTCGTTTTGTTATCGTGTGGACTGAACTGGGTGTTATTTATTTTCTTCCTTTAATGCAAAAACATTAGTTAACTGGGTAGATTGGGTGTCCGGGGTTTTGGTTTCTTTAGTTCGTTTCTTGAATTTTCTTTACAACTAAACTGGGCCTTGTATAAGTTTCAGTGTTAATAAATTTAGTTTTCATAGTTCCTTGTATTTTGATACTTTTGTTGGTGCATTATTAAATTTGGTTTGCTGGGATAATGTTTTTTTGTCTGAAGCAGACAACTTTGTTGAATCATATCCTGACGTCACATCATGGAAAACGGATTGCTGTAATTGAGAATGAGGTATTGGATGTGATCTTTGTTAAAGTTTAGAACTATTTGCTATTTCAGTCCATAAATGCACAAGAGATGTTCAGATAATATGGTACATGTGTACACTACATACATGAATGAATATCTAACCCTTTTTTTGGTTCCTTTAGTGCCTTTGTTTTGGGTCTAGGAGTATGAAATGATGACAATATGAGCAAGTTTATGGACTACAAGTTAAGTATGGAGATGGAGTAATAAATGCCTTTGTTGTCATTGGTACATGTAGTAGTGATTATTATTATAAAGCTTTGTAGTTCACTATGTAAGGTCTGATGTATATTTGATGTAAACAGATATCTCCCAGACATTGGCTTTTTTCCTTTTAACTTATTGGGGTAAATGTGTTTCGTGCATGTAGCAGTTTAACACGTCACTCTTTATTTTGTTGCTGCTGAATAATTGACTGAGTAGGTCCTTTGATAATGTGGTTGAGCTGGCTAAGATGTGTTGCTTCCCCATAAACGCTGAAAAATAGTGAAGAAAAAAAAGAATAGTTAATATCTTCCTCATGCTTCTTTTAAGCTTTTGATGTTGAATTGTTTACTAAGAAAGCTCTTCAGATGATGATGTGAGCCCACTAAGGTACCTGAAGCCTTCTCTACCAGTCAACACTTTGCATGGAACTTCCATGATGTAAGGATGGATACATTGAAGCTATAAAACCAATCTATCTATACAACAAACAAATTAGAAGGGAGAAGCCTTGAAAAGCCTTTACTTCACATTTTCTATTTTTCTAGAGTTTTGATTTTTTTAATTACCATACTAAGATTTCTTTCAATCACATTCTACCATGTGTCTTTTGTAACCACCTCTCAACTTCCCACTAAATAAGCACTATTTTTAAAATTTATTTGCGCAAGTGTTAAGGTGAAAGTGAAAAAAAAAAAATGACAAAATGACAAAAAAATGCAGGGCGCTAGTATTCCACAAATGGCACTACTGTGAAAATTGGGGGCATTAGACAAGTTTGTACTTTATACAGTTTATTGTACACCAGATACATAAGGAGCACCCAAAAAGCTATGCACACACGATGCTTCCAAAGAGAACTGTAAAAATCCAAAGTAGAAACCCTCGACCCAGGCAAGTAGGCAACACCTTGTTAAACCCAAAAACAAGAAGAGTCAGCAGTGCACAAAACAACTTATTCTGAGGCAGGTCAAGTATGTATGATATTTCTTAAGCATGAGTATAATGTGTAATACTACTTGTCTCGAGGTAACAAGCTGTGTTCCTAATATCCCTTAAAGGTCATTTTGCAGAGAAAGTATCAGCTAAACGACTGCTTTGATTGTTGCTAGGCTGCTAGAGTGCTAAATGAATTGGGAATATGATCTTTTGGGATTACTTGTAAGCAACTGAGTTTCTCTTTATTTTTCATTGCAGTTTGGTGAGGTGGATATTGATGGTTCATTAGTTGCTAGTCATTCGTCATCTAATGAGGAAATTGTAATGGTTAATAATGGTTGTCTATGTTGTACTGTGCGGGGAGATCTAGTCAAAATGCTTTTGGAGTTGGCTAAGAAGAAGCGAGACAGGTTTGATCATATTGTGATAGAGACAACAGGTATGTGGGGTTCCTAGTGGTCTTCTAGGGTATTAGAATGAAGGTCATCCCAGATGTTTTTCAATTTTTGTGGTGTTTATATTTTCTTACAGTGAATTTGCATTGGACACGAGTTGCATGAGCCAATATAAAGAACAATAATTCGTAATGAGTAATTTTCTCCTTAAATGTAAGTGGTGTCCACTTATCAATGATTAGCAATTGTTGGTAAACCTGTTTTTTGTGTACTGGTCTTATCTGTGAAGCACCGACATGTTTGATACGTCTGGGACACGGATATGCTCGGACACGTCCCGGATACGTAAAATTTAGTGTTTGAATTTTTTTTTTAGATAATCGGACACGTCCCGAATACTTCTCCAACTTACCAATTTTTGGTTTTTCACGGCAGCCGGGGTCGATGAAGACTGACAACAATGACAATGAAGAAGCCGATGAGAAAGACAAAACTCGATCCACAAAACACCAAAGGTGTCCATTGACCAGTAGCCATCTCCAGCGATCGGTGGCCATCTTTACATAGAAGAGAGAGGGAGATTACAGAGAAAAGAGAGATGTTGCAGATGTTTTTACTGAGAAAGAGATGTATCGGTGTGTGTTTGAGAGATAGAGGAGTGGGGGGGGGGGGCTTACGGTAGATCTACTTTTTCTTTTTTTGGGAAAGTGATAGATTTTGTTTTTTTTCTTCTAGATTATTGTGTTGCTTAAATCAAGTCATTGCCATGTGGCATGTCATTATTGATTTTCTTAGATTTTTGCCTCATCTCCTTATCAATTTGAAAAGATCAAATGTGGCCCAGATTAAATGAGAACTTAAAACTTATGCATTCCATTGGATGGGCTAACTTAATCATTTCTCTGCTTTATGGGACTTTGTTTGGTCCAATAAAATTAATGGGTGAATTAAAATTAGACTATATTTGGGCTAAATTTATCCATTTACTTGGGCCAAAAATATGTATAAAAATGTGTATTGGGACAAATTTATGAGCTACTAGTCATATAAAAATTAAATATATATATTTATTCAATGTGACCCCAACGTGTCCGTGTCCTACTTTTTTGAGAAATAGCGTATCCGTGTGTCCATATCGTGTTGTATCCGTGTCCCGTGTCCCGTGTCCGTGCTTCTTAGGGTCTTATTAGTCCTAGGAAGTTAGGATGACCAATGACCAAAATGATAATGCTCATCATTGGTTCAAGGTGGCAAATATGCACGATATTAAGTTTGCTATTGATTTTCATTTCTGTTTTCTTTCCCTCATTAGTTTAAGTATAGTATTCTATCTCTCTCCCTTGTTCTCTTTATTTGCATGTTTTCTCTTTTATAAGGGACTTTTTGAAACATTGGATTCTCTCTAGTTTTGGAGGATAGGTATTCTAATTTTGTCGTTTGCTCTCATGGAATAAGTGTTGGCGTGAGTCACATTATTGTAAATTCAAAAGTATAATTGCTCACTACTCCAGCTTCAAGTGTTGAAAATTGAAATGCTTGGGTATGCCAAAATTCTATGTTTAATTCTTTTTGCAGGTCTTGCAAAGCCTGGTCCTGTTATTGAGACATTTTGTACTGATGAACTTGTTTCACGTTATGTGAAACTTGATGGAGTTGTTACGTTGGTTGACTCCAAGCATGCCATGCAGCATTTGAATGAGGTAAAACCAAGGTTTGTTGTGAATGAGGCAGTGGAACAAGTTGCTTATGCAGACCGTATTATAGTGAATAAGGTAACTTTTGATTTCCTTCTTTGAGTAATCAGGACCTTACTTTTCTCCTATTGATGTGTGCTAACCTATGTTCAATTTTTTTTGAAATTCGAGAAGTTTTTGTGCTCCCATTTCTATATGATGTTTTTCATTTACTTTGGCAGATAGATTTGGTGACTGAGGCTGACATTGAGGAATTGACAAAGAGAATTAAGGTACAGTTTCTCCTAGTGCATTAATGGATTGGTCTAATTTGAAGTTGTTTGTTGATGGATTTGGTGGTATACATGATATGGACCTATGGTTTAGAGCTTAAAGCTGACAGCTTATGAGCTTAAAAGCTCTGAAGACAGAGTGTTTCTTTATAGCTTATTGATAAAAGTTGTGAATACCTTATAGGTTAAGCGTACCATAATCTGTAAGCAGGGTGGGGGGATTTTATGTCCCCACTGTATGAGAGTATGCTTGTTGCCAAATTGTTCTTAACCAATAATATTACAAAGCAGGGGGAGGCATTGCAGTCAGTTGCACAACAATAAGCACCTTTTCAACTTAATTTATCAGAAGGATCTGTATGAGAGTATGCATGTTGCCAAATTGTTCTTAACCAATACTATTACCAAGCAGGGGGAGGCATTATAATCAGTTGCACAACAATAAGCACCTTTTCAACTTAATTTATCAGATGGACACACTCTGCGTATGCCTGACAGGTTATAGTTCTGCTACTTAACCGATACTATGGTTCGTACAAGATGTAGCCCATCACTAATGGATTTACTTAATCTCTGCAAAAAGACCCATAGTGTGAGGATAGCGCTTAAACGCAGCCCTGTTAAAAACCTACCTGTTGATAGTGCAAACTTTCTCAAGTTTTCAAACTAAACTAGATTACAATTTGTCCTCCAATTTTGTGAATGCCATCTATCATTCACTGACTGGCAGGATCATGCCAGTGGTTGGCATTTTAAAATTACTTTGGCCTGATGAGGCTTCCAATAACTTCTATGTCTGTTAAAGCACAGGCTGCATGAAATATTGTTGTTTACTGCAAATATATGCGTCAATTTTTTTAAGCTTTTCTTCTATTAGATTTTAAATAGAAAAACTATGTATTTCGTTTACATGAGGTATATGGAAATTGGCATGGTGAGTTGATGTGTTGGGACGAGAGTACAACTTAATTGTCAATTATAACGACTGAACCATTCTTGCCAAGAATGGTGTTAGGAAGAATGTCGTGAGTGGTCAATAGCATCAAACTATCTCTTAGTATTTTTTTCTGTCTTCTTTTTCTTATCCCTTGTTTTCATTTTTCTGTCTTCTTTTTCTTATCCCTTGTTTTCATTTTTCTGTCTTGGGAAAGTATGTTATGCTGCTCTGGCTATATCAATGGTCCATATTATTTTGTTTATGAATAAGGTCTTTGTGGTTTTGTGTTTTCAGTAATAAAGGATTGGGACTTTTTTAACAAGATGTGCACTGTGTTGCTTCATATGTACCATGCGCTGCTTGCAGGGGCGGAGCTACATGGAAAGCTCTGGGGGCAGTTGCCCCCACTGAAATTTGAAGAGTAGTCCATATGCATTGTTATAGATTCCTAACTACAATTAAGTTATTATATTGCCCCCCCTAAGTTCTTGAAAATTTGTATAGGCAGTCTTTTTTATTTTTGGTCAGTTAGAGGTCCATTAACTCCCTTAATGTACAACAACATACATTCTAACTGAGTAAAACATTTGTACAATTTCCTAAATTACATATTGACTAAAGACACTAGAACAATTATTTGAGACACTGTTTTGTTATAAAAATAATTGTGTAGTTGTCCATATTTTTTTTTTTTAAATTTAGTGTCTCAAAACTTCGTAACACACGAATAGACGCAAATGGTAAAATATACTAATCCCAAAGTGTCTAGGCCTTTCCAAAAAAATCAATTTCTTAAAAAGATTAAAAAAATTTTTGAGAAATTTTATCATAAAATTGATCAATTTTAGACGATTCTTGAGATTTGCAATCACAATTGACTTGAAATGTAATATGAAAAAAATTAGCCTTTTGTCATATTTTGTTGATGTTGAATTGATACTGCTTTTTGATTTTTATACAGTAGTTCAGGTTTGATTTTTTATATTTAAACTTAGAAATTTTTCTTATGAAAATAACACTCACTTCGATCCTCATTAATGGAAGTCTGGGAAGATTTTTTTTATCAGTTGGTTAGGTTTTTCACTCATATTTTTGCCCCCTATAAGTTGAAATTCTGGCTCTGCCCCTGGCTGCTTGTTTTGCCTTCATATCTAATGGTGGTTCCTACATCTCATAGCTATATTCACTGATCATTTCACATCATTTGGATCTGTTGGTGTATATCTTCAGCACATTAATGGTATGGCACAAATAAAGCTAGCTAAACATGGAGTTGTTGACATGGATTTTGTTTTGGGAGTGGGAGGCTATGATCTTGACAGGTGATTCTGATTATCTTTATATGCCACTTTCGTTTTTCTTCTTCAGTTAATCTCTTTCATTTCCATATGACCTTTCTTTTCCCTTTCTTTCTGGTGATGCATATCGTGGTTCATGTAATTAAATTTATTGACGTATAAATATGCCTTTCGTTTGCAGAATTGATTCAGAAGTGCACTCAGGTGGTTCCCATTATTCTGCTCATCAACATGAAATGGGGGATGGTAGTGTCTTTTATGATATTTCTTCATTTCTTATACTAATTATTGAAAATATTCTTCGTGACTGCAAATGATTTTCATGCTATGTAAGTAATGATCCAGCAGATGTCTGCTTTTTTTATTGTTGCCTACAAATCTTGCAAGTTTTTGTGCAGTACGAAGTTATTATATTTTTGCTCTGTTGCCATACAGCAGTATTGGTTGGCACACTTCACTTGACTATAATACCTGTTACAACTATATTCTCTTTTCTTTTTCCCATTTTCTTCATTTGCCCTATACTGTCAATTGAATTTACCCATCCCTTTGGGTGTTTCTGCAGTGGAATTTATGTTCTCTCTTGATTGCGTATTAATATTTCTCTTTTTTATTAGTCTAGGGTCCATGTTTGTAAAATGAGTGAAAGATGACTTGAATGTCAAGTTAAGGGTAATCCTTATTGTTATTATCTTGCAGTAGTTAAGATTGCCTAGGTGAGCCACAATTATAATGATGATTAATTAAGCTACACAGGACCCTTAGCAATACAGTAGCATTTATGAGTTTTGGAAGGCATTTCAGATTATTTCACGATTTTAATAGAGATACTTAGCAATGAAGTACGCTCGTCTAGAATTGCCTATTGCTTGTAGTACTCTTTTTTTAATTAATCAGAATGGTTTACAACACCTTATCAAAACAAGTTTCATCATCCGGTACTTGCTTTTTGGAGTGATTTGTATCTATTTGTAACATTTTTGTGTAATTCATGCATAACCTTTTCTTCTTTCCCAACAGAACACCACAAAGGACATCATCATGACCACATACACGATTCGGCTGTCTCCAGTGTTAGTATTGTTTCCGAGGGAACCCTAGATCTTGATGAGGTAATTGCTTTGGTTGAGGTACATTAATGTTGGTTGTGTGGTTTTTGTATGGTCAGTTGCTATTCTAACGCACTTTGTTATTGTGATGGGGAGAAGAATTAGAGTCTACCTTTTTTTCTTGTGATTATTTTCTTACAGGGATGTGGGTAGTACCGTTGGTTTGCCTTCATAACATAAACTTCTGATGTCTTGGACTTAGTCTCTGCTGGTTGTGCATGATTCAGGTTGACGATTGGCTTGAAAGACTGATCGAAGATAAAGGGGAGGACCTGTACAGGATGAAGGGGGTATTGTCTGTGGAAGGTTCTGAGGAGCGTTATGTTTTTCAGGTTCTAATCATTGACATCTTCTGTGAAAGTTGTTCATTTTAGTGTTGATGTAACTTGAGTTGAAGTTTATGCGTTCTTTTCCTAATTTCCTTTTCCCTTTATCTTTTAGGGGGTGCATTCCATGTTAGATGGCTCTCCAGGCAAGGCATGGGATCCAGATGAGAAAAGGATTAACAAGCTTGTCTTCATTGGAAGAAACTTGGATGAGACCGCCCTAAGAAAAGGTTACAAAGGCTGTTTAGTGTGACTAGAAGTTGGGTTCATGTCGTGTGTGCAGAAAAAGGGGTGAAGAGCGTAAAGTCTGGGGAGAAATCATGGCTTTAATGTGTTTGGTTTGCTGTTGAATGGGGTTAAATAACTTGTTACTCATGAAAACATCAAACTGGAAATGGTTCAGTAGTGGGCTTTGAAGATGTGATATGCAGAATTAGTACAATGATCAGCGGTTAGTCATTTAAGGAATGGAACTACAAAGGTCATGAGTGGCTCTCCCTGGAAATCCCGTCGTGATACCAAGAGTTGCCGATCAAATTCGTTGGTTTCTTAGTGACAGTTTATAAACAACGGCCAGGGTTGGTATGATTAACTCCTGTGAAAGTATGTACTTGTATGACTTGCTTTGATAATTATTCCCACTACTATTACATTAGTCCTAATTGCTTAAATTGTCTTGTGTTGTTGGGTTTCTATACTTGGTATATCAGGTGAGAACAGGAGTTAGGCTTCTTTTGTGGTTGCCGCTTTGGGTGTACCCCTCAAGCCATTCAAAATCAACCGTCCATCTTACACAAATCAACCTATGGTGGTATCTTGAAATTTCACGCGTTAATTTTTCTTTTCATATGGGTAACAATTACATTAATTGTCTTTCTGCTTTCTAGTTAAACTAGGGGTAACCCATGTCTAAAGGCACGGTACAATGTAAATGATTTTGAGAGAGATTGTTGACGACTGTTGGATGAGTTTTTTTAAAGCCTATCATGTTTTCTATTTTCTCTATTTTTTTTGTGTATTTGTATCCTTTGAGTTTGAGCCAAATTTAGAGGCTGAATTTTGAAATTTCAAATTGACTTGGTGTTAGGAATTTGATGATCAGAATATGATTATATCACTCATTTTTGAATTTTCACTATTTTAGAGATTGTTGGGCTGCTAGATTTGCGATAACAATGTCATCGCCCAGTAGAGCAGAATCAAAAAATTTCATCCCATGACGTGTGTCCTCCATGTTGGATACCATATCAGTAGTACATAATGCGTGAGTGGTTATGAACTGTTGAATGCAACTAGAGCGTATTTTCGGTTATACATAACAATAGATTGGATAGGAGTGGTATAAGTATTGATTTCGCTTCAAAGGTCATCTCCTCTATTCTAAATGTCGTTTCTAATCCAATACACAAATTGTGCGTGCAAAATCCTGCACAATATAAAAAATGAGAACAGATCTCTCTCTTGGTGAACTCGAGTGAGCCAGTTGAGTGATCAACCACGCTGCTTGGAACAGCCTGTGAGGTCCGGTGGTAACCTGGAACGGCAACGGGCGACCCTGGGGGAGCGGAAAAACGATCCAGTAAGGTTGAAAGAGGTTCCTGGAACAAAGAAGAACAAGTTAGAAGGGTGCCGGAGTGTTTTTCGGCGTATCCCCTCCGACGATCTAGTCAGTCTTTGAGAAAGAGAGAGGAAGGAGAAAACAGTGAGTGTGTATTGTAGTCAAGAGTTTTTTGTTGCATACCCGTCTTGCCTTTTGCAAGGAGTATTTATACCTCAAAAGCTCATGATTGCTGTCAGTGTAGTCAGTAGGTGATCATTAGGTACAGGCAGTGTGCGCACTGATTCTGATGAGGAATGTCTTCTCTTCTTAACTGCTCGGGGTCCCGAGCAATCAATGCTGTGTAATCGCGATGCCGACGGTACAATGTACTCCTCTCGGGGAGGATGCAATAAATGCTCTGTATTAGGAGCATTTATTGCATTTCATTTTCGAGCCTTACCGCATTGAATGCGGTCTCGTCAAGGGAATGATGTAATTAATCGTTTGCTTTCCCAAGTCGCGTGTCAGCAACGGCATGCGGTTTCTCTGTCTTCGATGTGATATCATATGCCACGCGTCCATCCTCCATTGGCTATGGCCCCTGCATTCCTGTACGTTCTGACACTAATTGTGTAAGACGAGGTTATGCTGAATAGCCTAGACTAGCCTAGGCTAATGACCTGTACGTCAATAGCTTATCCTGGAGTAGAGGAGGCGTCCAGAACGGGGTACCTCTCGGCACCGAGGAAAGGCTCATCTCGGACCCGAGGGAGGTATACCGACCGAGGTACCATATCAGACGAGGCTACGTGTCGGTTGTAAAACATACTGAATGCCATGATCCTATATGACGAGTACCTCGGGGGCGAGGACCTTTGCGCGCCGATGGTGCTTGATCTTAGCAACAGTGTTTTGGTAATACCGAGGACACGTGTCTTCATCATGAAATATTTCAGAAAAGTCCCATCAACTGCCCCCCAACCTTCGATCTTCTGACACCGAGGGCACGCGTCGTAAGGAGACGAAGGGTTTTCCAACAACCACAAATGCTTCATCATTGCCTCGAGCCGTTTTCCCCGGCTTAGGATGTCGTGTGCATTAAATGCGCCGTTTCGTTTTTCGCGCCCAATGATGAAACTGCCACTATATAAATGGGGTTCCTCTTGCATTTTCTTGTTTCGCCATTCCGAACTTCCTCAAGAGAGCCTTTTCCTGAATCTTCGCCGGAGATCTCTTTCCTCTTCCATCGTCGACTGTCCATTCTTCCTTAAAGTCTTAAGGCCAGCAGACCCATCGTTGCTTCTGAACTTTCTGGAAGGAGTCGCCTAAAGTTTTCCAGAAAAAACTCCGTTTGACATTCGGGTGAGTCCTAGTTTCTTTCTTTTCTTCCTCCTATCCCTTTTTGTTTTCCGATGACTGGAGGTGTCTCCGGTTGATACTTAGCGACTAATCCTCGGGAAGCTTCCTCAGGGATTTTTAAGGAAAAACACCCTCCACTTTCTCACTTTCTTAGAGATGCCTCGTCGTCGCCCTGCTCCCGAGAATCCTCAGGCTGGTTCTTCGGGGTCGGGAAAGTATAAAGTAAAGGGTGGTGAGCAGATTAATAGGTTTAAGGTCAAGTACGACATTCCCCCGTGCGTAGACATAGAGGATTATGACCCGGTGGTGCACTCTCCTACCCTCGGGGCCGAGGATGCTATGCCCTTTTATACCAAGGCCATAATAGAGGGGGGAATTAGGTTTCCTTTACCCCCTTTACTTCTACAGTTCCTCTCTCACTTTCGCCTCTTCCCCGGGCAGTGTTGCCTTAATGTCTTCAGAATAATTATGGGGGTCTTAGAGCTCAATAGGCGCCTCGGGGTAAATATTGGGCTGAACGATCTCCTTTTTTGTTATTCCCTCTTGAGAGTCATGCCTCACCAACACTTCTACCTCAAAGCCAGGGACCCCTCCATGTACCTTGTAACTCATCTTCCCGACTCGGACAAGGGGTACAAGGACGATATTCTTATTTTCAAGGGATCTTGGCAGAGAGGTGTTGGTCCCGAGTATAACGGCTTGTTATGCCCTCTGGAATGGAGAACGACAAGTACGTCGGTTCCTTCGGGTTTATTATTTTGTTCTCCAGATTTTCCATGTTCATGACTACTTTTTTGTTTGTGCAGATATCCCTGCTCGGGAAACAGCTCCTCCCCCTCGGTCGCTGGTGAACTTTGCCGACCTAGTCACGGTTTGGAGATTTACTGGTGACAACGGGTTCGGCCGGGCTGCCCACATCCTGCTGAATTACACCCCCGGGTATAAGAAATTTTCACAGCTTCCTCAGCCTTTTGAGCCTTCGCGGTGGTCTGAACTCTTCGATCAGGCGGCGAGGCAAGAGGTCGAGGAAAACTTGGAGGAAGACCCTGATCGGGCTTCGGAGGCAGAGGTAGAGGGAGTAGTTGAAGAGCTCGGGGTCAGAGAGGACGTTGTTCCTTCGGACGCCGAGGTGGGGACTTCGGGAGGAGACTTGTGGCCGGACTTCCAAGTTTTACAATCTCTAGACTCCGAGGACGCCCTCGAGGTCGCGATGTCCAGCACGCCTCGTATTGACCTGGGGTTCCTGAGGCAGAGGCAAGCTCTTGCTGCCGGGAGGGGTCGAGGATCGACCGGCGGCGCCCCATCTGCAGGGACCAGTTCCACCCCATCCTCAAGAGTTCTCAGTCGGGGTCAAGTGCGTGACCGGGATCCTCAGGTAGAGGAGGAGAGAAGGGTCAAACATAGGCACGATGGCCTCGGCAGAGGATCCAGGGCATCTTCCGCTCAGCAGCAAAGCGGGAGAGGCCGTGGGTTACCCCCTGCTCCTCCGCAACAGCAGCAACAACAACAGCAACGACAACAGCAACAACAACGGCAGCAGCAGACTTCCCCTTCCCCTCCGCCGACAGTGGAAGCCGCGGAGTGGAACCCCGAGCCACCGATCACATGAACCGAGTGATCAGGGTCGATGACTCCATTTTGCTGGACCCTCATGTCGCCAATGCAGTGAGTGAGACACTGCATTTCGAGGCTGACATGGCGGCTCACAGGGGGCGATCAACGAACGTGTTGTTCCGCTCTATCATCCAGAATTCCCTGGTGGTAAGTTCATTTTTGCTTTGGTTTCTTCTCTCTCGCTTTCCATTTTTGTGACACGCCTTTTTTCCTCCTTTGCAGGCTACCCAACAGATCTCCATAATAGCTGCGCGGTACCATGGGTCTAGGATGGACCTCCAGCGGGCCCGAGAGCAGAAGGAAGAGGCGGAGGGGGCCCTCGCCCGAGCAATGGAGGACGTAGCTGCCAGGGATTCTACCCTGGCGGGGCAGGCTGCTCAAATCGAACAACTCCTCAAGGATGCCGAGTCGGCTAAGGTTGGCGCTGAAAAGCTAAGTGCTGCCCTTGCCGATGCTGAGGGGAGGATCACCGAGCAGACGCGGCGGCTTTCTGCCGCGGAGGAGAGGGCGGTTGGCTCAGAGGAAAGCTGTCTGGCTCTCACCCAGGAGCTGGACAGGATCAGAGCCGAGGCACTGAACAGGAAGTCGGAGGAGCAACTCCGAGAAGAGTTCGCCGATGACGTGCTCCCTGCTCTTGAGGAAAACAGCAAGGAGTTCTTCAAGAAAGGGTGGGACGAGGCGCTCCAGTCTGCTGGAATCCCGTCAGACTCCCCGCTCTTCCAGATGCACAAGTACGTGCCCTCGGCAGAGATGGAACGGGCCGAAGCAGAGATTGCTGCCGAGGATGAGATCCCAACGCCGGTGCAAGTCTCGGCGGATCTGCCCGAGGCAGTGATAGTGGACTTGTCCGAAGAGGCCCCGCCGGACCATGCCCCTGATCCTCATGTTGCTCAAGGTCTCTCTGTTGCCGAAGTACCTCTCCTTCTGCCTGCTCCAGAAGCTTCTCAACCTTTTTATGCTGACTCGCCCTCGGCTGATGTTGTGGAGATGCCCGGGCCAGATGAAAGCCCCTTTTTCTTTTTGATTGTACTCTTTTTTCTTTTGTAGCCTTTGGGGACGCAAAACCCCTCTTCTTGAAATAAATCACGAGTACTTTTCCTTTTTTGCGTACAGTAGTGTTTTGTTTTTTTTTTTTTTGGAACTGTCTTCGGGGGCTTGCCCATTCAAGAGGCACGCTCTTGTATTGCTTCGGGGACAGGAGCCTTGAACTCTGTCCCCAGGGCCTTGCCCTTCCAGGAGGCTTGCTCCTGTATTTGCTTCGGGGACAGGAGCCCTTGAACTCTGTCCCCAGGGCCTTGCCCTTCCAGGAGGCTTGCTCCTGTATATGCTTCGGGGACAGGAGCCCTTGAACTCTGTCCCCAGGGCCTTGCCCTTCCAGGAGGCTTGCTCCTGTATTTGCTTCGGGGACAGGAGCCCTTGAACTCTGTCCCCAGGGCCTTGCCCTTTATCTTTGTCGTTGGCAAGCACTTGAGGGAGAGAATACTTCAAAAGTAATATTTCTTTAGATTCATAACATTCCATGGTCGCATTACAAGTTTTCCATCCATGCCTTCTAATCTGTACGACCCGGCGCC